ACTGGAGGCTCTGTCTTTGGTCTCTTACCCCCAAACCACTCTGTTATTGCCCTGCTTTTAAAAGCTCCCCACGCCTGCAGGGGACTCCTGACAATGCTCTTCCTTGGTGCCCCCACCTCCAGGATAAACCTCAGCCCCGGAGTGGGTAGGTCAGCGTCTCCCCCACCTTCCCTGTTCCTCACTGTCACTTCCAATCTGCTTTATCTCCCACCCCCTTCCAAACTCCCAGCCCCTCTGAAGAACAATCCTTCTGACCATGCCAACCGAGACTGCTCCTTCCGAGTGTGGTCTGGCTAATAAGTTACCCTGGTCACTGAATTCCAGCACCCAGCTCCCTGTCTTTCTTTCCACGACTACTTCTGTCGTAATGCTTGGCAATTTCAACATCCATGTGAAAAAATCCTTCCAATACGCTGCCTCTTAGTTTCCTAATTTCCTCAACTTCAACAGTATCTAGTTATGCATCCCTTAACGATGGGGTTGTGTTCTGAGAAATGTGTCGTCAGGTGATTTTGTCATTGTGCGGACATCACAGTGTACTGAAGGGGGACAAAATTTGCCACTCCAAAAGCTGCCTCTTTAAAATAAGGATTATTTGAGGCTGATTATTTTTAAGAAACAAAAGATTCAGAAAGTTTTTGTTACCTCACCCTTAACTGTCTAAAAGAAGTCAGATTAAAAAACTCGTCTCAGGAAGTGAGCTATCACCTTAGCATCACATAAACTAGGTGGTAGACAGGGAGGAATCTGTTTGTTGGGCCCCCCTCTGTGTTCTTCTGTTTCTGTGGCCAAACACTTGTTTTCTAATCATTTTCCCCTTTTCATCTACCTGTGAATTGCCTTCCTGCCCTTTGAAGTCTCTGACTCTCCCCACCCTCAACACCTTCTTTTGTCTTTACCTGAGGATGGTATTTAAGGTGAGGGCTTTGACATTTTTGTTTTTCTTCTGTTAATCTGTCTCACATCAATTTAATTTTTAGACCAGCCAGAAGAACCTAGGAGGGTAGAGGAAAATTTCTTCCTCCCCTAAAGCACTTATGCAAACCTAGATGGTATAGCCTCCTATATACCTGGCTATATGGTTCTAATCTTATGGGACCACTGTCATTTATGCAGTCTGTTGTTGACCAAAACGTCGTTATGCAGCACATGACTATACTCCATCCAGGTCACCCACTGCCATGGTCATCCGCTGGATCTTGTCATCGTCACCCTCTGACTATGAGCTCCTACCTCTCCAGCTTCCCTCAAGTACCCTCATCCCAACACTGTGCAACAGCACTGGAAATGCTCACCAACTGAAGTCCTCTTCCTCACCCATCCATCACCCAACCCTTGTTAAATACAGTCATGTGCCACATAACGACGGCTGATCAATGCTGGACTGCATATACGATAGAGGTCCCATAAGTTTGTACCACAGATCCTAGGTGTGTAGTAGGCTATACCATCTAGGTTCGTGTAAGTACACTCTATGGTGTTCCCACAATGACAAAATCACCTAACAACGCATTTCCCAGAATGTGTCCCGGTCATTAAGTGATGTGTGGCTGTACTGTGATTCAGGGCTACAATCACTCCCTTGAAAACATTCTTTAAATGCTTTGTTCCTTTCTCCCTCCATTCTACTTGCCCTACTTGCCCAACCCTTATTAAGCCTTACTCTGCTCCTAAACCTAAGTAGCTAATATTTTCTCCAGAAATGGAGAAAAACATGATAGAATTCTGCTAATTGGTCCTATTTTGGACCAAAAATATCAAATGGCAAATATCACTGCCCATCAGTCAGTCCCACTAATTTCTCTGGTAAATTTGTTTTCCCCCTCAAAGATGCTCATTTCTCTATTACCTTTTCCTTTTCCCTCCTACTTGCAACAACTTATTCTATCCCTCTGCTGGTGACCTGGCCTCCCTTTCAGGCCTCATTGAGAAACCAGAAGCTATCAGACAAGAACTACCTATAACATCCTCCTACCACCAATGCTATTAATCCAGCTACATCTGAACCTACATCCTACGTGTTCTCTCCTGTTAAAATGGAAGAAATTTCCTAGTTCACCTGGGTCATCAACATCACCAGAGAAACATGTTTTAATATCACCCATCTTAAGCAAAAGAAACAGAAAATGTCCTTGACCTTATGTCCTTTTCCAGCTCCCATCCCATTTACCTTCTCCTCTTTGCTATAAACCTTCTCCCAAGAGTTGTCTCCAGCTGTCTCCACTTTTTCACCTTCCATTCTCTCTTCAACCTACTTTGATTATAGTTCCATACCAGCTTTTCTTATCACATATATTATATAGGAGGGAAATAGAATATGGTTGTTAAGCTTGGACTTTGACCTCTTGTGTTCTAATCCCTGTTCTGTGACTTACTAGGTAGAAAAGCAGCATAACTCCTCTGGGTGTCAGTTTCCTCAGCTAAAATGGGGATAATTAAAGTACTATCTCATGGGGTTGCTGTGAGCACTAAGAGTTAGCACATATAAAAGCACATAGGATACCACGGGCACATAGAAAGTATTCAGTTCGCATTTGCTGCTGAGGTCCGCAGGGACCCTCCTTCATCATACCGCATCCACTGATGCAGGCTCTCTCCTGCTCTGACTTGTCCTCAAGGAGCACCAGACAGAGTTCTCAACGCCCTGCTTCTAACGCTGCTACTTGTGGCTCCTGCGACATCATATACTACCGGGTTTCCTGCTACTTCACTGGCTGTTCCTTCTAAGGATCTTTTCTAGCTGCTCAATTTCTAAATATTGGAATACTCAGGCCGCTCTTTTTACTATCTCAACTCCTCCTAGTAACCTGATCCAGTCCCATGCTTTTAAATACCACCTATGTACTGATGTTGCTTAAATTTATATTTCCATTCCTGGTTCTCCCTTGAGCATCGGGTACAAATATCTAGCTGTCATCTTTATCAGGATATTATGTTGGCACTGCAAACCTCACAGATCTCAGACAGAATTCTTAAGGACTCCCCTCTCCCCATCTCCGCCCATACACCTGCTCCTATCACATCTTCTGCATTGTTATAGTTATTCACCCAGTTGTCAGGCCTAAAAACCAGAAGGCATATTTGATTTTTCCTCTTTCCCTCAACCTGACATCCAAATGCTAGCGGTCCTGTTTGCTCCACCTCCAAAGTCTATCCCAACTCCCTCTCTTCTTATCATTCACTGTTGCCACCTTAATCCAGGCTATCATGCTTTCTTTCATGGATACTGCAAAATGCTCCCAATGAGTCTCCCTGCTTTGATTCTTTGTCCCCAAAAAGCCAACTTCCTCACAGCAGCCAGAGTAATCTCAGAGTATAAACCAGATTGTATCAGTTCCTGGCTTACAACTTCCCAGAGGCTTCCCAATACAACTGGAATAAAATCTGAACTACTGAACGCAGGATTACATATGATCTGGCCCTGCCTGACTCTAACCTTAACTCTCACTATTTTCCCATCTTTCTCTCCACTCAAGCCACACTGGCCTTTTTCAAAGACACCGAATTCATTTCCACCTTAGGGCCTCTGTACTGGCGGTTCCCTCTGCCTGGTTATCTCTCTCCAGCCCTAGCAAGGCCAGCTCAGCTGCCAGTTCCTACCTCAGTGAAGCCCGTCCATCTAAAGCAGTGGACCCTTTCCTCCACCCAGTCAGTATTTATCCCAAGACCCTGTTTGATTCTCTTTACAGCACCTAGAGCCAAATAAACTGTTCCTTGTTAAGCTGTTTAGTATCTGCTTCCTATCAAGGTCATATATACTCCACGAGGGCAGCAAGGACCCTCTCTTACTCAAGATGAACCTCCAGCATCTAGAAGACTAACCAGCACACAGGAAGTATCCAAGAAATATTTGAATCAACTTGAAGAAAATGAAAACAACAGCATTCACTTTTTGCTTTTAGCACAGGGGTAAATGAAAGTCCACCCCAAGCACTGACAAGTTGACTTATTTTTGGTATACCATCAGTCTAGAAGGGTATGTTAACCAAAGTCAGTCATTAAGTAAAGCAGTTATCACTAAGGGAAAAAAATATTGGGGCTGGTTCTATGGCTGAGTGGCTAAGTTCACGCACCCTGCTTTGGTGGCCCAAGGTTTTGTCAGTTAGGATCCTGGGGATGGACCTTGCACCGCTCATCAGGCCATGCTAAGGTGGTGTCCCACATGCCACAACTAGAAGGACCCACAACTAAAATATACAACTATGTACTGGGGGGCTTTGGGGAGAAGGAGGAAAAATTAAAAATTAAAAAAAAAAAAAGAGCATACTGCCCATATTTAAAAAAAATATTGGTACATCTTATCAGAATTATAATCATATAAAAAAGAAACAACTTGTATTTTTGGTACTTTCATTATTACTTTATACCCACAAGTTTCTAAATTAGGTATGAGACATCTTCCAGATAAGCAGACGGAAAGTCAGGACTCAAAGGCAGACTGAGGCCCACACCGCCTGTGTCCTTTTATCAGATCATGGATTTGTCGACATTCTAGGTTACGCAGATTTTTCAGAGCAGTTTCAATCAAAGTGATAGTAGAAGTCAAAGAGATATTTTTAAAAACTCAACAGAAATTTCAAATATTGCAATATAGCTTGAGTGCCTAAAATATCAAGTATCTTGACTTTAAAAAAATTGATTCAGGTTAAAAACACTAATCTCCTGGTAATGAGGTGTGTTGACTGGTTTGAAGCAGTCTTTGATTAATAAAAATGAAATTTCAATAATAAATGAGTTTGGTAGTCAAAATCCTGGTAAAACCTATCATTGGGTAGTAAAACAGGACATGACAAGCGTGCAGGATCAAGCCCCAACTCTGCAGCAGACAGGGCCTCTCCCTCTGACCTCTGCTCCTCTCCCAGCTACTTCTCAGCACATGTCCATGTGCGTGGTCAGCCTCATGACCATCTAGAAAATTCCTGCTTACCTTTTACCAGCTGAAATGTCACCTCCTCTTTGTAGCCTTTCTTAATCCCTTCACAGGCTGAACTCTCTCTTACCTCTGTTCCAAGATGAGCTCCGGACACGATGTTAAGCACAGTGTATTATAGCACTCCTCTGTTACATATTTTCCTGGCTAGGCTGTAAATGTTTCCTGAATTAAAGAAATAGATCATTTAAATTCCTAAATCAACATGCAAAACATCTGTCACAGAGTAAATATTCAATTAATATTGGTCAAACTAATTACTGATTGAATGAAAAGTCTTATTAGGATTATGGTTACAGTTAAAAGTTGCTTAAAGACTTACTCTACTGAGTGAAATTGAAGGTTTCTAAGCTATATCTAAAAACCCCAGGAATTCAGGCTTAAGTACACTATGTTTTTTACACTCAAGTTTATTGCTACCCTGGCAAACCCTACATTCTCTCTATATAGGTGATTTTGCTCAAGTAGAATGATTGTCTGGAAGTTTCACTGTATCTAAGAGGTTCTGAGAAGGACGGTGAGGCCCCTAAACCTCACCAATACTTTGACCCAACAAACCCTACTGAGTCCTCCCAAACTGTTCTTTGCTTAGAAGTGAACTTGCCCAGATTTCTGATGACATGAATACACTTCAAAGTTCCTATTGCTGTTTCCCGCGTTGATCAACACCACTGCAGATCGATCACCAGCAACTTGCACAGGACTAACCTAGCAGAAACATGGAATACATTCTAAATAGGAATCACTTTTCAATGAACTTACTGAACTTTTCATTGCCACAACAAATTCTCATTTCTTGATGGTCCCCTAAAAATATACAGACTTTTAAAATGTAAGAAAAAGTGCTGAGTGGTATTTTAATAATTCTTTGAACTACTATCCTTAACATGTATTTATCAATGAGATCTGTGACCCCAACTTTAGCAAAATCTCTCTTAACACTTAACATTAAAAAACGCATGATAATCACAATTTCAAAATTAACAACCTAATTATAATTAATGTACAAGTTTTGTACAAAGTATAGCAAAATATTGTTAGTGTCTCAAGATTACTATATATTTATCTAGGATCCAGAGCACAAAACAATGTTTTTAAATTTTCCTTTCAAAAATTCAACTTTCATTTCTTTGTTACAATATATGCCACCAGTTACTTACTTAAAAATACTTACATAGGGAAAAATACACCAATGGCCATCAAAAAGACTGTTTTTGCTTACTCTAGGATTCTAACCCATTTAGATTCTTCTAAGAGTTATCTTGAGCATGCAGTGTAGAAATGCTTGTTTGAACAACTTAATTTTAATCTTATTACATTCACAAACATAAACACAAAAAAACAACACAGAGTATGAAAGAACGCAAGAAAAACTGTTGGTTTTATTGGTATTACAGCGTAGTTTTAATACAAGCTAAATACAAACACAATTGTTAGATATTCAGTCACTTATCCTGTGAACCAATCTTCTAAGATCAACCATGAAGCATTTAGAAAAAGGAAAGTGTGTAAAATATTTTCCACAATTAACTCTAAGGACTCCATATACAAATGCAAAACTTTCAGGTTGTCAATAATCACATCAAATGTTGAGCTACGGACTGAGCAGTAAAAAACAAGTTCTGATTTTGAAATTAAATAGCTCCAGGTAAAAGCATGCAATTTCCCACATCTACTATCTTTGTATTCTGCACAGAGTTCCAAGGCAGGGATGGCTTCTGGCTTTATGACCCACCAGGGACGATGGCCTGTGTGGCTGCCTGGGCACAGGCCTTGCGGTCTTCTTGCTGGAGAGATCCTTAGCTTCCTTGGGAGGAGGCACAGGAATTGGTTTCCACGGAATCGGATTATAGAAGGCTGGTTCTGGATAAGAATTTCCACTGTAAAAACCTAAAGTTATTAAAAAATCAGAACGAAGCAAAATGAGAAAAACACTTCTTGGCATCAAAGAAACTACTTACTTTTAAATTGCTAGAGAAATGTTAAAATATCAAGAAGGCAAAAATATCATTGATAAACCAATTTGATTCATTTAAAACTTGAACTCTCAAATATTTTCAAGCAAGTAACACTTTTCAAATACAGAAAATGTTGCAGTAAAAATTAAAATATAAATATTGCTAAAAGTCCAAAGAATGTTAGCATGAAAATCTACACAAATAAAAACTCACATAAAAATTAATTCTAGAACCCTTAAACTGAACAAAATCTTCATTGTCTTACCTCAGTCTGGGAAACCACAGATTGTGTTCTAGTTTCCCCTAGTCAGGGTTTACAGAAAAAAATTTCTGTTGCAAATGTAGCTAAAGCAAATCAAGATTCTTGTTTAGAATCACTGAAATTCTAAATTACTGTCACACAAATTAATCAGATTTCCTATTATCACTGTCATTTTGATTATTAATTAAGAGCAGTAGAACAATGCAGATAGACATTTATTAGAACAAAGCTAATTAAAAATGCAAAAAATTTAATAATCCATTATTTTAGCAATTAACTTCTAGTCATTACTATGTATATTCCCACCAAAAGTTTTAACTTCACTATCCAATCGTTTGGTTAAAACCACTGCTTATTACTCTCTCTTGAAACAAGAAAGACAAAGAGGAGCAGCTCACGCTCAGGAGCCGCAACAGAGGACCTCTGGGACACGTGGGAGACGCAGGGATGTGCCATTCAGACAGCGGCAACCCACTCTGACTGCACAGATATGTCAACACACACTTCACCAAGACGGTCAAAACAAAGTCTGGAATATGTTCTATTGTGTGAACAAAACAGAATGGGAGTCTTTGAATAATAAATCACTTAAACAAGTGAAGGCAGCTGTCAGCAAGGTATGCGTTCCCAGCACGGAGCACAAAGGAAAGCATGCATTGCCGCTTCCAGCGAGACCAGCCTGAAGGCCAGCCGGTTTGGGTCTCGTTCACGTGCTGTCTAGTACTCCGTCCTGCAGAAAGAATGTGCCAAAGACAATGGAAGCTCTGCCTTAAAGAGGGTTAGAAAAGGGGGAGGAAAAATGACCTCTTGAATACATCCTAATGAAACTTTAAAATCCAAGAACTGCAGGAAAATTTCACTTGTTTCTTAATGTTAGAAATCATGACTTGCAGTTTTACAACTATTGCCTTTAAAATATATCTGACTTACAGAGAGTGACAATAAATCTGTAGCATCTCCACAGGAACACAGCATAATAAAATCTTCCAGAAAATAGTAATTTGAAAGAAAAATGATTTTTATACATTTCTATTTCTGTCAAAAGGAAACATAATGTATAATATTTGCTCCTGCAAGCCATATTTATGTAAGCCACACAACATAAAAACCAACCTGTAAGTTTTCCATTGGCATAACCATAGCTCTTTGCAGCTGGACGAGGTTTATTTTTTGCCTTTTCCAACCATTCCTTAAACTTTTTTTCTGCTATTTCCTTTTTTTCCTGTAATTCAGCTTGCCGTTGTTTTTCTTTTTCCTTAAAATGACAAGACCAAAGAAACTCCAGGCATATTCTGCAGCTAAAAATTCTATTCACATTCTACTGACTTGTTTCCCCAGAGCGTCCCCCCCAAAGGCTTACTGATCATAAATACTGCATCATACTCTATAAGTTGAAATCAGACTTTAACAAGATCAGGGATGTGCTATCAAGGCGGCTGCCTCTAAACAACAATAAGACATCAAACCCAAGAAGAAAACAGCAATTTTCTGTTTTAAAATAGAACAGTAATTTGTAATAATGTAATAAGGTTTTTCATACAAGTGCATCAAAAAATAATTAAAAGCATTAGCAACAATAAAATGTTTGAACCTGACGGAAACAATATCAACAGGCTTATTAATATTTCTCACCCTGGGAAAACTACAAATGCACACTGACCTCTGAAGTGTAAACAGAGTACAATAAGTAGGGATGGCTTCACGTATTTACTTTATGCTAAGACAGGGCCAATTTCCAATAGAAACGTTTTATACAATATAGCTGGCACATACGAACACGAGAGCCATGTATTCTGACTGGTCACTTTAATAAAAATACCTTTTCTTTCTTCTTCTTCTCACATTCTTCAGCATTTTTTTTCTTTAACCATTCTTCATACTTTTCTTTTGCTTTTTCTTGCAAATGTTCTTTCTTCAGTTCCTTTGCTGCTTTTTCCTCCATTTCCTTATTAATTTTTTGTTCCTTTTCTTTCCTTTTCTTAAATAAAAATAAAAAATTTTTAACTGGAATATCTGTAATTATCCTCATATGACGAAAAAGTGTTATATACAGTAATTTTCCAAACTTTACCTGTTTCTTAAAATAGGTGGTAACTGCATAGCTGACACAATGTGACTTAGGAAAATATATAACATACCTGCAATTACCTGGTTAATTTTAGTCTACAAGCTTGGCTATAAGTTTCATGATGGCAGTTACAAAGATCCTGCTCACCAAAGTATATTCAGAGCCTGGGACAGTGTTGAATAACTGAAGTAGGTGCTTCAATAAGGATTTGTTGAATAAATTAGTGAACAGAAATTACAACCTGTTAGATTGTCCTGAATCTTAGTGTTTTTTAATCAGTATTTACACTCACTCTAAAATAGGAGCCACATACGTACTCATTTCCTGGATGGTTTGCCAATACAAATACTTGGATAAATCTTCACCATCAGTGAGTTACAGAGGACAAATAAATAACATTTTGGCACATTACATATTGCTATAAAGGCACACAGAGGCAAATTTCTGGCTATGTAATTCTTTTAAGTCTTACATAGACCAAGTTTTATCATGAGATTGCAGCAATTCAGTCACATCTTCAGGCTCCACTTAGAATTCTAGTTCTCGTGCTGTTTCCACCACAGCTGCAGTTACTTCCTCCACTCAAGTCATCTGTGAGGGTTGGAATCAACTTCTTCCAAACTCCGGTTAATGTGGATATTTTGACCTGTTCCTATGAATCGTGAATGTTCTTAATGGCATCTAGAATGATGAATCCTTTCCAGAAAGTTTTCAATTGACTTTGCCCAGATCCATCAGAGGAATCGCCAGCTATGGCAGCTATAGCCTTACGAAATGTTTATTTCTTGAACAGTAAGACTTGAAAGTCAAAATTACTCCTTGATCCATGGGCTGCAGAATGGATGCTGTGTTAGCAGGCATGAAAACAACATCAATCTCACTGTACATCTCCATCAGAGCTCTTGGGTGACCAGGTGCATTGTCAGTGAGCAGTAATATTTTGAAAGGAATTTTTTTTCTGAGCAGTAGGTCTCAACAGTGGGCTTAAAATATTCGGTAAACCATGTTGTAAACAGATGCGCTGTCATCCAGGCTTTGTTCCATTTATAGAGCACAGGCAGAGTAGGTTTAGCATACTTCTTAAGGGTTCTAGGATTTTCAGAGTGGTAAATGAGCACTGGCTTCACCTTAAAGTCACCAGCTGCATTAGCCCCTAACAAGAGAGTCGGCCTGTCCTTTGACGCTTTCAAGCCAGCCTCTGACTTCTCCTCTCTAGCTACTAAAGTCCTGGATGGCATCTTCTTCCAATATAAAGCTATTTCATCTACATTGAAAATCTGTTTAGTGCAGCCACCTTCATGAATTGCCTTCTGGAGAACTTGCCGCAGCTTCTGCATCAGCGCCTGCTGCTCCACCTGCACGTCTACGTTATGGAGGCGGCTTCTTTCCTAAACCTCATGAACCAACCTCCGCTAGCTTCCAACTCTCCTGCAGCTTCCTCACCTCTCTCAGCCTTCACAGAATTGAAGAGAGTTAGGGCCTCGCTCTGGATCAGGCTTTGGCTTAAGGGAATGTTGTGGCTGGTTTGATCTTCTCTCCAGACCACTGAAACTTTCTCTGTATCAGCAATAAGGCTGTTTCACTTTCTTATCATTTGTGTGTTCACCGGAGTAGCATTTTAATTTCCTTTAAGAACTTTTCTTTTGCATTCACAACTCGGCTAACTGTTTGGCACAAGAGGCCTAGCTTTCAGCCTGTCCTGGCTTTTGACATGCCTTCCTCAATAAGCTCAATCATTTCCAGCTTTTGATTCAGAGTGAGAGACATGAGACTCTTCCTTTCACTGGAACACTTAGAGGCCACTGCAGGGTTATTAACTGGCCTAATTTCAATATTGCTGTGTCTCAGGAAACAGGGAGGCCCAAGGAGAGGGAGAGAGATGGGGGAACGGCCAGTCAGTGGAGCAGTCAGAACATACACAATGCTCATCAATTAAGTTCACTATCTTATATGGGCGTGGTTCCTGATGTCCCAAAACAATTACAATAGTGACATCAAAGATCACTGATCATAAACCACTACAATAAATATTATATTAATGGAAAAGTTTGAAATATTGCAAGAATTACCAAAATGTGACACAGAGACATGAAGTGAGCAAATGCTGTTGGAAAAATGGCACTGACGTCCTTGCTCAAATGCAGGGTTGCCACAAACCTTCAATCCATAAAAAATGCAATATCTGCGAACTACAATAAAGTGAAGTATGCATTTAAGTATTATGCCTAGTAAGTCTTATAACTGCAATATGAGGTAGACACTATTATGATCTCACCTTACAAATGAGGAAACTGATGCATAAAGAGGTTAAGTAACTTGCCTAAGATCACAAAGACACCAAAATGAGAGAATGTTAAAAAGAATTTTATGCCAATAAATTCAATTTAAATGAAATGTCAAAATTCTTTAAAATATACCACTTTACAAAACCGATTCAAGAAGAAACAGTATCCGAATAACCCCCTACCTGTAAAAACAATTCAGGATTAAAAACTTTCCCACAAAGAAAACTCCAGCCTCAGATAGCTTTGCTGGTGGATTCTATCACACATTTACAGAAGAAATAATACCAACTGCCCCAAAAATTATTTTAGAAAATAGAGAAAAAGGGAACATATTCAAGCTCATTTTAAGAGCCCAGTATTACTTTAATATCAAAACTAGGCATGGACATTATAGCATAATACCAGGAATAAGGCAAGATGAGTGCTGTCATCCCCAAAACCATGAAATACTTAAGGATACATTTAACAGAAAATGTATGATACTCCTGTACACCAAAAACTATTACTGAGAAAAATTACAGATGATCTAAATAGAAAAACCATGCTTATAGATTTAAACTTTGATATTATTGGGGCTGGCGCCATGGCTGAGTGGTTAAAGTTCTATGTGCTCCACTTTGGTGGCCTGAGTTTGCAGGTTCGGATCCCAGCGCGGACCTACTCCACTCACTCGCCATGCTGTGGCAGTGTCCCACATACAAAATGGAGGAAGACCGGCATAGATGTTAGTTCAGGGCTAATCTTCCTCAAGCCAAAAAAAAAAAGAAGATTGGCAATGGATGTTAGCTCAGGGTGAATCTTTCTCACCAAAAAACAAACAATAACAACAAAAAATTTGATATTATTAAGATGACAATTTTCTCCAAACTGATCTATATATTTAATGCCAATCGTGTCAGGTACTATTCAAGCAAGCATGATTAAATAAATTGATAAAGTGATTCAAATTCAAACAGTTTCGAAAAAGAAAAAATAAGATGGAGGATTTACACTATCTGATTGGAAGAATTATAAATTCAAGAATTATAAAATTATAATAACAGGCTAGTGTGGAACTGGCATAGGATACAGATAAATGGAATAGAATAGAGTCTAGAAATACACCCATATAAATATGGTCAATTGATTTTAAACGAAAGTGCCAAGGTAACTAAATAGGGAAAAGATTCTCTTTTCAACAAATAGTGTTGGAACAATTGGATATCCATATGTAAACAAAATAAACCTTGACCCTTAACTCACACCATACATTAAAATTAACTCAAAATATTCATACAGGTAAAAGCTAAAGTTATAAAACTCCTAGAAGAAAAGAATGGAGAAGGTTTTACACCCTTGGTGTAGGCAAATGTTTCTTAAATAGGACACAAAACCCAGAAACTATAAAAGAAAAAGTTGAAACATGGAGCTTTATCAAAATTTAAAACTTCTGCTCTTTAAAAAATACCATTAAGAAAAATTTAATGGGAGGAAATATTTGCAATACATATATGCGACAGGACTTAAAAGAATACATAAACCACTCTCACAACTTATTAATAAGACACACAATCCTTCTTCAAAATGGGCAAAAAGTTCAACACAAAGCAAAACAAAAAAGATAAGAAAAAAGACGTAGAGGGGCTGGCCTCATGAAAGAGTGGTTAAGTTTGGTACACTCTGCTTCACTGGCCTGGTTCACAGGTTTGGATCCTGGGTGTGAACCTACACCACTCATCAGCCATGCTGTGGCAGCGACCCACATAAAAAGTGGAGGAAGACTGGCACAGGTGTTGGCCCAGGGCTAATCTTTCTCAAGCAAAAAAAAAACAGATGTAGAAAATGGTTGATAGTGCTAGAGACTGTCTTGCATACCCCTGAAATTCCTGTGTTGATGCTCTAACCCTCATTGTGGCTGCATTTGGAGAAGGAGTCTTTAAAGAGGTAAGTAGGTAATCAAGGTCATAAGGTAGGGCCCTAATCCAATAGTACTATTGTCCTTATAAGAGGAAGAGACATCAGGGATGTGCATGCACAAAAAAAGGGCCATGTGAGGGCATGGAGAGAAGGCTCCAATTGCAAGCCAAGGAGAGAGACCTCATGAGAGACCAACCCTGCTAGGTTTGGGTTGGTCTTCGGACTTCCACTTTGGACCTCCAGCCTCCAGAACTGTAAGGAAATAAATTTCTGTTGTTTAAACTACCCAGTCTGTGGTATTTTGTTATGGTAGTGCAAGCTGACTAATACAATACGCTTATTAAAAGATGCTAAATATCATTAGATCTCAGAGAAATGAAAATTAGAACAACAAATGACATACCCCTACACACTCACTCGAATGACTTGAAATGAAAAGAGACTGACAACGCCAACTTTAGCAAGGATGTGGTACAATCAGAACTTTCATACAATACTGGTGGGGACATAAAATGGTACAAGCACTTTAAAAACACTTTGGGGGGCTGGTCCCATGTCCAGGTGGTTAAAGTTCCATGTACTCTGCTTCGACAGCCCAGGTTTGCGGGTGTGGATCCTGGGTGTGGACCTACTCCACTCATCAGCCATGCTGTGGAGGCATCCCACACACAAAGTAAGGGAAGACTGGTACATCTGTTAGCTCAGGGCTAATCTTGCTCAAGGAAAAATAGAGGAAGATTGGCAAAGGATGTTAGCTCAGAGTGAATCTTTCTCACTGAAAAAAAAAACCAAAAAGCTTGGCATTTCCTTATAAAGTTACACACATAGGTACCATACAACCCAGCAATGCAGTTCCTAGGCATTTACCAAAGAGAAATGAAAACAGGTGTACACAAAAAGACTTGTACATAAGTGTCATAAATTTCATTCATAATACCCCAAAACTGGAAACAACCCAACAGTCCATCAACTAGTGAATGGATAAACAATTTGTAGGATTCCATAGAACAGAATACTACTCAGCAATAAAAAGGAACAATCTTAATACAAGAAATATCAGGAAATTTTAAAAACAAACGAAGCCCAACACAAAAGGATACATATTCTATGATTCCATTTATAGGAATTCTAGAAAAGGCAACTCTAATTTACAGGGCCAGTACGCAGACTAACGGTTTCCTTGGAGCAGGGGCTAGGTGGGCTAGGGAGCAGGGCGTAGTGCAAAGGGGCACTAGGAAACCTTTCCGAGTGACAGGAATGTTCTATGTCTTGACTGTGGGGCTGGCTACACAGGTACATAGGTTTGTCAAGCCGCACCAAACTTAAAATAAGTGCATTTTCCTGTAAGTAAATTATAGCTCAATGAAGTTGACTTTAAAACATCAGACAGGCTCTCTGTAGGATTTAAACTAGAGACGAGAGAATGGAAAGCCTTTAGTTAGCAAAAGGAGAACAGAGCAGGCACTTGGAGAGAAGCACCGAGAGAGAGCAGCCAGCCACTAAGTGGCTTCAGATTTTCTGGCACGCCAGTTCTATACCACACAGAGCACAACAATAAATCGTCCTTTCTTTAACATGGTGCCCTGAGAAAACCTTTGTTTCTCTCAACTAAAGGAAACTAACAAAACAACTGGCTAAAGTTTCTGAATTTCTATTTTAGCTCCTTCACTAGTACCTGCTACAGAGTAAAAATGTTGAATGCATGAATGATGCACTGATAACAGTGCTATCAACCATATGCTTTGTTGATCTGAACTAATTTTTTATATTAAAAAAACTCAGTTCCATGTTTTGAGGATTAAAAATAATTTCACTTTTAAATAATTTTTTAAAACAATGAAGGTAAGGTCCCTTTCAGAAAATATGTGATAACACATCGTAAAAAACAAATCAAAAAAATGAATTAGTATGGCAACACAAATCTAAGAGTACCAGATGAGATAAGCCATTTATTTGAAAAGGATTTAACAATTTACAGTCATATTATTAGAAACTAACTTTGCTAATGGATACATAAATTCTTTTTGTCTGATTTTTTGATAGAACGCAGTGAAAATGACTTAGAGAAAATAACGCCACAGATACAGCTAAAATGTGAATGAAGCTGGAGGCAGCAGTGGACCACACACCATGAAATGTAAACAGAGGAGAAAAACGCTAGATGCCAGACAGGAAGAGAAGAACCAGGAGAGCAGTCTTTACAAATAGAGGTAAATGTAACTAAGACTGAAATAAGAAATCTGATAGGTCTTAAAGAACAAAAAAACACAGTAATCAATTATTCCTTAACATGCACAAGAGTTCTGCAGAATAAGTAAATTTAATTTCTCAGCGTTCATTTTTGAACTATTCTCAACTTTATGGCATTTTTCTTTCAATAATTAGTGATTTATGTCAGGGCAAGCCATTTCCCTCCAAAAGAGAGAAATTTTTTCTCAAATAATTGGATTAGATCTATTGCCACTAATTAAAAGAGAAAATATATCATCTCTCAGCCATATCTTACATTCTTAGACAAACAACAACTATGTTTGACTGGCAGGGTAAAACAAGCTTAATGGAGTTAGAAGATAAGAGAAGCTTTTAGAGGAGAAAGCCCACTATGCTGTACATGTAAAACTATTTTCTTTTATAGTTATAAACTTAAAAAAAGTATCACCCAAAGCTTGGTGACACAGACATATTTTGAATTTGGCATTAATTCACAAAGAATTCTTTCTTCTTGTACTATGGGATGAGGCAAACATGAAAATAATAATAATAATACTTTACTTATGAAGTAAAGAACAAATACATTTATGTTATAACACACACGTCTAGCCAGTTTCCTTCTTACAATCCCTGGATGAAGAAAGCTATGTCATCTTCAATTTACTGAAATTATTACTAGATATGCTTATTAATACCACTGGGCATTAGATCCAACAATAGTTAAGGAAAAAAATTAGAATTAAAAATTTAAAACTTTGTCCTACCAATTAAACATTGACTAAATTCATAAAACTAGGTAATAACAAAAAACAGTATCATTCTAAATATGTAAAAATCACAACAGAAAACAAACTGACTACATAAGTACTTTTAAAATTTCTAACTTGTGATTCAATACAAGAATGCATTAAAATTGAAAGGAAGATAATACATTTATTCATTCATTTATTCATTCCAATAACAAATGTTTACTATATTACAAAGCATTACGCTAGATCTTGTAATGGATAAAAAGTAATATAAAAACATAATTCCTATCCTTAAGAGTCTTAAAATTACAAGAGAAGTGAAGACATATGCATAATACAAAATAGCAACAAAATATATACATAACACAAGGCAGTACATGACAAAGTGTATAAATTACAAAACAATTCAAGAAGGAAAGCGTTTCTAGCATGTGATCAGCGAATGCTTCATGTAGGAAATGCTCTGAGTTGGATGATGAAGGGAAGGGAGGGGTGGAGGATATGAGATTACATGCTGATGAAATACCATATAAAGAAAAATAAGGGGGTGCTGGCCCAGTGGCACAGTGGTTAAGTTTGCACACTCCGATTCAGCAGCCTGGGGTTCGACGGTTCAGATCCTGAGCACAGACCTAGCACCACTCCTCAAGCCATGCTGAGATGGCGTCCCACATGGAAGAATTAGAAGACCTACAACTAGAATATATAACTATGTGCTGGTGCTTTGGGGAGAAAAACAAGTAAGGAAGTGAGAATGAGAACGGAAGTGTTCTCAAAATTTCTCATCAACATATATCCCTGTGGGGAGCACAGCCCAAAGCTCAAGATTTCTTCGAAATCTATTGTGTACCTTAAAAATAATATAAAATTCATGTTCTACTCCATTAAATATCGGTGCTTGCCTTAACATAAAAATAACATTTTCCTCTCACAATTTTCCAGTAAAACTATACTCCAAGAAGACAGACCATGATTATCATGTGTGTGCTCTCAAAAGAATGGCAGTAAGAAGCAACAGCACAGAACAAAGGGAGCCACAGGTGGAAGAAGACGCAGCTCAGAGAGCAGAGCAGAAGGTCTTTAACCAGCCAGGCTAGAATTGTCAAACATTATGCAGAGGACGGAGGAATGATGAAAAATATTTTTTGAATTGGGGAATGCCATTCAACTTTTTCAGTAAGATTAGTCTGGCAAAGACACAGAGAATGGAGTCATTCATTCAACAAATATTTTGGGGCATCTATTATGTGTCAGGTACTGATCCAGTTGCTGGAGAACTGAACAAAAGAGGTGAAAACCCCTGCATCATGGAGCTTACATTCCAGTGTGGGAAGATCAACATCAAGTCAGCTGAAAGATGAAATGAGACCAGATAGGAAGAGGCCACAAACAGGAGTGGTGACTGCACAGGAAAGGAGGGGATGACTGCCAACAACAGAAGAATTCTCATCACGCCCAGGTGACTGAGATGACAGGAGCACTGACAACAGAAATCAAGGAGTGAGGAGAATGGTTCTATCAAAGGGGAATAGGCAATAACGGTTGTTTTAGGTTTGCAGGCTCAGAGGCACCTGATGACCTCTGACTCAAGGAGGTCAGGTCTAGGGACACAGTCTTTGTGACTTCGTGACTGCCTGCAGCCACATACAAGTAGAAGCCGCACAAAGGAAACGGAAGAGAAGCAGAGGGCAGAGGTAGACGACAGAGACTTGACACATGTCCCTGAGGGTAGAATAAAATCAGCTTGGAGAAGAAAGAATCTAAGAGAAAAGAAGACAAACCCAAGTAATGAGGAGTAATGGGAAGAAGACTTTGCAAAAGAGATCTCAGTAACCGTGTGTGCAATTTTTTTCTCCCTACCTGTTCATTCTTTTTCTGAACCCATTCCTTGTGCTTTTCTTCAGCAATTATCTTTCTTTTCTCACGTTCTTCCATTTCTTTTCTTTTTTCTAGCTGTTGATTTAATTCCTGTGGGTTTTATTCAAACAAAAGGCAACATTTAATAGGAGTACTCAAACCATGTACTTCAAAAAAGACTGAGGCTAACCAAATTAAATAAGAATATAGTTTCCTTTATAGAAAATATACCATTAGTGACAAGAACTTACTAAAGTAACTAGTCTATGATGAAAAGAAAGCATTGGTAAAAAGTATAAGTCATTTTTTAGAAATGCAAATAATTGCTTGGCAGCAAAACACTAGTTTCTTAGACTAAACTTCAGCTAAATTACCCTCATTGAAATCAACTTTCCCACACATAAATTTTGGCACCACTGCATGCTACTGGCAGAAGCTCAAGAGAATTCCAACCTTCTTTACAACTATAAAAAGCTTCTAGATTCCTGATGAAGACAAAGGATAGGAATTAAATAATCCCTAAATTAAAAATTTAATTCAGAGTTATACCAAAGAAGAAATGTAAAGAAACCATTCCATTTTCTTCAGGGAAAAAAAGAATTCAGGTTTTTCTTCACTGATTTTATAGCTGTTGGATTGTAAAACAAAACCACATTCATATCCCAGATTATTTAACTGCCTTGCTGTCACTCGATTCTACACGTTTGGGCATTTCCTCGGGAGAAAGAATGTGGAAGGTATGGCCAAATAAAACTACAAGCTGAATGCCACCACTCTGTCACTCATCAGTTAAATTACTGCATTAGTTGAGAATGTTGTTCAAACTAGACTCCTAGGACTCCTCCACCACAACTGCCAGTTATTTTTCTCCTCTTTCCTTAGACACTAATAATCAGATACTTTTATACATATTCCACTGGAGCCCACTCCTCTTCTCCATCCCCCACTTTCCCAAAGACCTCCGTACCTGGGCAGTGGGAAGTACAATTTTTCAACTCACAGACAATTCCAGTGCGTTAAATGAAAGGAAGACAAAACTTGACACCAAGAACACATCTTTTGCACTTCAGAACATCGGGTCAAAGGGTGCCTGTCTTCTTGGACCTCTCATCCTAAAATTCTGCTACACAGAGAATAGCTGCCCTCACTCATTCAGAAAGTCTTCCAACTTTTAAACACTATACTCCTCCTACCCCCTAAAAGTAAGATATCCATCCTGTTTTAAAAGGATTCTTCATTACCTCCGCAGCTGCTATTCCTTGATTATGCACTTCATACTATTTCTATGGAGCACCACTATAAAGACAGCAAGAACTGAGACACAGGGATGAAATTCCAGAGGTCTCTGATCTAATCTGATTCTGAACACACAGAACAATTAAGCGCTACATTGTGAGGTACTGTGTAAGAGGAGCTCAGAAAAGGGAAAGGAAGAGGAGGGAAGGTGAGAGGAGAAACAGTGTGGTCAGAAATGCAGTCAGACCAGGGTAGTCAGAAACGACCCCACACGAGGAACAGCGAGGAGAGGCCTGACGAGGTGAGATTAAGGGGGAGGGCGGGCAACGAGGAAATCAGAGTGTGGTACCAACTAGATGGAGAAGGGTCTTTTGAGACAGGCAGAGTACACCAAATACCATGAAGCAGGAACACATGACAAGGCACGACTTAGAACTCTTCATGATAAAGGCTGAAGACTGCATTTGAAGGGATCAGAACTATCCTGAGGGACATTGATGACGAAGTCAGACAGTACATGAGCTGTAAGGGGAAGGAGGTCTGGACCTGTGTCAGGAAACAAGAAGGGGGAGGGAGCGTGGAAGGGAGGGGGGGAGAGAGAGAGAGAGAGAGAGAGTGTGCGTGTGTGTGTGTGCACGTGCGCACATGTGACACGCTAGATACAGATCTGACAATCGCGTATCTAAAATTCTCCCAAACAGTCCTAAATTTCATTTTCAAGGAAAGGAATTATTTAAATATACAACTAAAAATATGATTGATTATATTTATGTACCCTTTAAAAATTCTTCTATAATTAAACTCAAAAATCGAGAAAAAAAATTAGACTTTGTGTTTGGTTCGCAAATTTGATGATTCACAAATTTTAGCTAATGTAGACAAAAGAGTTAAAGATGAAAGAAGGGTCAAAAGTACCTGGAAAATGTGACCACTGATCCAAGCAGTGCTCTGATCTCAGGACGTCTGCTCGAGCGACATGCCACGAGAACAGACAGCACATTGAGACACAGCCCTCCCCTCCGAGGCCGGCTCCTCTCAGCATCTCCAGCCTGAACACCTCTGTCTGTGACCCACCGCGGCAAGCTCCTCCAGACCCAGCTGAGCTCTCCTCTCACAGGCCCCTGGTCGTCTTCTGGCCACCACTGAACTTCACAGGACTATAGCTCTTTTCCCTCCGAGACAATGTTTGATCATGGAAAACCAAAATCCAAAAAGGATCCTAAACATGCATTTTTATTTTAAGAGCTTTTGCCAACTTTCAAATAACTTTTTACCAGTAATGTAACAATGAGAAAAACCGACAGTTTTACCAACTCTATATCCTGCCCTATTTCTTCATTAAGGGCTGATGAATGAAATGGCCAGAGGCAAGATGACGAAAAAAAAGGAAAAAAGCACCTGGATTATTCACAAACTAGATAATTTTTATAATTTAGAACAGATTGTACTAAAATGTTAAAGCAAACATTAAAAATTAGAATTAGTCAAAGCCTGCAGAGAATTTAGGGCAATCTGCTAAAGAAGTTTTTAAATAATAAAAATTTAAATAAAATGTATATGACCTACAAAACCAATATGCCAGTTTCTCATAATACTAATGTTAAACATTTACCATATTTATCATCTCAACATAGTTACAAATGCAAAAAATTTTGTAAGTGGGTAACTTTGACAGATTAAAATAATTTTTTAACTCAATCTTACAGAGATGTCTAAAACAAATCTACCTATCTGTCACTGAAATCAAATTTATGAGAGGGAACAATCTTTTTAATGACCAATTATCCTTTAAGTTTTCAAGGAAGAAAATAAAGCCAGGGTAAGTTCAAAATTAAATACTAAGTGGGGCCGGCCCAGTGGCATGGTGGTTAAGTTCGCATGCTCCACTTTGGCGGCAGGGGCTTCACAGGTTCACACCTACACACACATTGTCAAGTCACGCTGTGGAAGTGTCCCACATACAAAATAGAGGAAGATTGGCACAGATGTTAGCTTAGGGACAATCTTCCTCAGCAAAAAGAGGAAGACCAGCAACAGATGTTAGCTCAGGGCCAGTCCTCCTCACCAAAAAAAAAGAAAAGAGAAAATAATTAAATACTAAGTCTGACCCATCTACTTCTAAAATACATCTTGGTCTTGGAGAGAAAACACTTACTAAATTCGAAGTCAAAAGAATGAGGATCCAGGCCACCTTTGCACTGACTGAAACCTCACAAGTCACTTTCTGGCCCTCAGGCTTTAACAGGGACCTCAGATGAATTGTTCCTTACGATTAAAAATCAAGGCTTTAATGATATGATTTGTAAACAGATTAAAGATACAGTAAACAAGGAGAAAAATAAGGAAAGCATGACTTAGAAAACAAAACACAGGGGAAGGCATGAAAAGAATGTGAACACCTACATAGCTCAGAACAAGCTTATAATAAAGTGCGCAGCTGGCCTACAGGTTATAATGTCCCCGGCAGCACGGATGCAGTAAGATTCAGGCAAGTATTCCCACTGCTTCAGAGTTAAGTAAAGACACAGCTGTAAGAGATGTCAAGCTACTAAACACATGAAAAGGTTTAATCTTTCAACCGATCATACCCTGATACCTGCTCAATCACTGTGGCAGTGACTTTATACTCATTATTTTAGTCTCTTCTCAAAACAAATCTTCAGTAGTTACCATCATCTGCTTTCATAATAACACCGGATTTTTGAGGCTTCTCCCAGACGAGGCCATATCCTGATGTTCACTCAGTCCTCATAACAACACTAGGAGGTGAATACTCTTCTCTCCCTTATGATAAACAAATCGAGGCAGAGAGGCCAAGGATTTGCCCAAGGTCTAAGTTTTGAATCCAGGAAGTATGGCTCCAGAACCTTGGCTTTTACCCACCCTACTACTGCCTCTGTAACATCTGGCTTATAGATGAAGAGACTGAGGCTCAGAGAAGTTACGTCACTTTTCCAAGGTCACAGAATGGCAAGGCTAAAATTTCAGGCTTGTTCTGGGCAACTCCAAAGCCCAGGCTCCCTTATGAATTTC